ACTTATTAAAAAATATAATAATGTTCAAGCTCAATCTTAGATAAAATGTGGATTATGACTTAAGGTATGTAGATAAATATAGTTTAATATGAAATTGATTGACAATAGAAGAAAACCACTTATTAAAAAATATAATAATGTTCAAGCTCAATCTTAGATAAAATGTGGATTATGAGTTAAGGTATGTAGATAAATATTGTTTAATGTTATTATGTTTGAAAGTGACAATAGAAAAAAATCACTTATTAAAAAATATAATAATGTTCAAGCTCAATCTTAGATAAAATGTGAATTATGGGTTAAGGTATGTAGATAAATATGGTTTAACTAGTACAACACCCGTGTATTACACGGGTGTTTATTAAAAAATTATTCTTAAATTTTAAAATTAATGAGAAAACTAAATTATATTTTTACCAAAAAAATATATTACTATATATTTTGGAATGATATGTGTTACTTATGACTTACATGTATTATATTGTATTAGTTGTTATAACTTATATCATATAACTACTTGAAATATAAATATATTAGTTGATAAATAATTTTATTTTTCTAATTAATATTAAAAATAATTTTATTATTGTTATAAAAATAAATATAAATTATTTTTTTATACATACAATATGGATGTTAAATCGAAGCTCATCAAAAGAAGATTAATTTGATACATTACATATGTAAAACTGATAAAAAATACAAAAGTTATTAACTTTTAAAATATATATATACAATTCAATAGTTATAATAAGAAATGATATTAAAATACAATTAATACATGTAACATGACCATAAATAATCAACATATTTATGGTAATCCGAACCTAATTATTTTTGGTTTGGAATTAAATTAAAATTTATTCAAGCCTAATAACGAAGCATGTAATTTTGCCACATAGGATTCCGAAGCACCAGAATCAGCCACGTAGACTCAGCGCGTTCTGTATTAATATATAGGGGGATATGAAATTGATTGACAATAGAAGAAAACCACTTATTAAGAAATATAATAATGTTCAAGTTCAATCTTAGATAAAATGTGAATTATTAGTTAAGGTATGTAGATAAATATTGTTTAATATGAAATTGATTGACAATAGAAGAAAACCACTTATTAAAAAATATAACAATGGCCATTTTATACATTATGAACGATAATTTAAAGAATAGACTATTATATCATAAGATATTAAATCAAGTATTGGTTTAGGGTTTAGGGTTTAGGGTTTAGGGTATATGCGAGGGGGGGTATGCGATTTCGCATACCCCCTTCGCATTTCTACAAGAAAGTTTATTTGTTATTTTCTTTCATCTTTTAGTTATGCGAATTTTTGCATATTGCTCTCATACCCCATTTGCACTTCTACTCGAAAGTTTTTTTTTTTCTTTTTTTATTTCTTTCATTTTTCAGTTGTGCGAGGGGGTATGCGAATTGCCGCATATTGCTCGCATACCCTCTTCGCCCTTCTAATTGAAAGTTCTATTTTTTTTTCTTTCATCTTTCAGTTATGCGAATTTTCGCATATTTCTCGCATACCCCATTCGCACTTCTACTCGTTTTTTTTTTTTGAAATTTTCTATTCTCAACATACAAAATTGCGACATACAAACGTCGCATATTATTCGCCGAGTTGGTGCATAATAAAATTTTTTAAATTTTGAAACCGCTGACAGTTGGAATAATAGAACGTACGGCCGATTTCGAGGCGTCTTTTCCGCTTTTCGAAACGTCTTTCCTCCGTCCACATAAAACGTGTAATCTTCAATCCTTATCTTATGCCCCTTCTCTTTCTTCCCCTCCGGCCCCCAAAACTCTTTTAATGGCTTCCGTTTTTTCCCTTCTCTTGTATATGAGAAGCAGTTTGCCGGAGATAAACCAGAATTACAAAAATTATTTCGATCGAACCTTGAGGCAATTCTTTACGATTACTGTGTCCGAGCTGAGAACTCCTAACCTTTTGAATTCGTTTGATTAAAAAATTCAACTACCGGAAATTCCGCTATATAACTTTATTAACGTGGCCCCGGAGGAAACATATGTCGAGACAGCGATGATGATGAAGATCAAAACTCCAGGCACAAGTATTGCCGGATCAACTATGAGAAGGTTGAAGGTCGGAACAGCGCGCGACGGCGGCCGGGGCATAACGACCCGGCACTCTGTCATAGGCAATGCTGGCCTCAACCTCTCTAGGTTGTGGTCGGCCAGGTTTTCATAACAGAGGAAGGTGTTTGGTCGATGGAGATCTCTTCCCGGAACACGTCTGCACCCATCACTTGAGAGCGTGGTGGGAGAGGCCAAGCTCTTGCTGGAGTTTTACCTGGAACTCCACAAACAAGCTCGGCCCACGGCTCCTCTTTCTTTGACTGCTCTGTTGCTCGTCGGCTGGGGTTGAAGTGACTGTAAAAGCAGTAGTGTAGGGATTTCTGTTCGATCTTTTATTCTGCGAAATTCGGCTGGGGTTGAAGCGACTGTAAAAGCAGTAGTGTAGGGATTTCTGTTCGATCTTTTATTCTGCGAGATACATTCTTCGCATATTATTCGTCTAGTTGGTGCATAATAAGTTTTTTTTTTTGTTCAGAATTTAATTTTTGGAAAATTCAAACCGGTTAGGCTAATGAACCTGCGACAATTAGTCGAAAATATTCCGCACAACAAACGCATATCACCCGTACTAATATATTTTTTTTAAATTTGTTTTTGCAAATTTTCTATTCTGCGAAATACAAACGTCGCGTATAATTCCCCTAGTTGGTGCATAATAAGGTTTTTTTTTTTAATTTAATGTTTTGAAAATTCAAAACAGTTAAGGATAATGAACATGCGACAATTAGTCGAAACAATTTCGCATACAAACCGCACAACATTCGTAGTATAATCGAAGGGAGACTTCGAGGAAAGCTTCTTTCTGTTTTTCTGTCCAAAGAAATGATGCATCGAAATAATGAGTCACCATGGATACATCTGAGATCGCATAGTTGCGACAAACAAACATCGCATAGTTCATTCGCATGTCCACTGTAGGATATTCGCAGGTCCACACTTTTTGTATAAGAGTATAAAACAATTATTAATTGATAATTATTAATATATTTTGTGATAGAAATGGTCTGATAAATGCGATTCTTTATGCGACCGTCTCACGACAGATATGCGTTTATTCGCAGGTCTACCGCAAAGTATTAAACTGCGAAAGAGATACGGAAATAAACCATTATATTTATTTTGTTTATTAAAAATGCATCAGAATTGCGAAAGTGTGGCAGTTGTTACACGAATATTACTCGACTGCTGTTTTTTCACATATGTAGTAGTATAGTTTATTATTTAAAAAAAAAGCGAAACGTCTCATATACGCTACTTTAACAGTTGCATTGCACCTCTCTAGGGAAGAAAACAAAAAAGAAAGAGGGGCGAAACATTTGGGATTCCATCTTGCGACTTAAATTCGCATAGTTACTGTTATAAATTTTTTTTAAAAAAAAGAACAAAAACTGATGAACGTGAACGACGCCATGGCCTTCTTTGGAGATAATGAAGATTTGATGAATCAAGCTTTTCATGCTGCGGCCGGCGACTCAACGGCTGCCGTAACGGGTATGGCGGACGGCGACTTAGCGACTGAAGGCACGGGTCCGGAGGCCAACTCTTCTGGAGAGGTAACTTCCATTTGTTGCAGTTATTTAATTTAAGTTATTTAATTTCATCGGCTGTAATAGTTAAAAAATAGTTGTTTTTATTTGATAATGTATAAGTAATTTGATTTGAATAATTAACAATAACAAGAATAATGCGATTTGTTTAGGATTCGTGGTCGTACAAGAGACCGAAACTGATCGGTAATTATCAAGGGCTGAAAATCAACGTTTACAGCTGGCGGTCTATATGTTCTGATATCAAGAACGAGTTGGGCCACGTTGAAGGGGCCTTGACTGCTTTCCAGGGCTCGGTCTTTGGTCCGTTCCTCCAGTTTGATGATAATGCCAATGTATCTGCAAAGACTATGCATGGGGTTCTTTCGCGCGAGGTGACTCGTGTCGGTCAGAAACCGAACGAGATGAGGTTCCGTATTGGTAACCATTTTACACGATTCTCCGCCCATGAGTATGCTGTGGTCAACGGGCTTGCTTTTGGATCGTCAGCGTTTGACCCGAACTCAGCGCCTCCTCCTCCTCCATCGTCGATTTTCTATGAGAAATATAAAGGCAAGCGGATCAGTATGCAGCAGTTGTGTGATGACTTCAAGGCGGGGCAGTTCCATCTCTCTCGGGATATGATAGTGAGAGTGGCGAAGATGCTAATGCTGATGTTCTTCATATTTCCTCATGACCACAAGAAGCCTAGGTATATTGATAACTGCTGGTGGACTTTGCTTAAGGAAGACCAAATGTGGGAGAAATTCCCATGGGGGAGTTACTCGTTTCAGTACATGTTCGACCACTTGCAGACGGCCCAGTACAATAAAATGAAATATCATATCTACGGATTTAACTGGGTGTTTCTAGTATGGTGCTACGAGGCAATCCCAGCATTAGGTCGTGCATGTGGAGCATGTACCTCGGTGAGACGTCCACCACGGCTGGTTCACTGGGAACTGAACAAAGTTTTTCTTCCAGATACATGTTTTGACCAACAGGTATTATTTGATTCTAAACTTTTTTTATTATTATTGGAATCGTTAGCAAGTGATATCCAAAGTTCTTTTTTATGTTTTAACGATTTAGTTGGAGGTGAATGAGACGCTGCCGCTGAATGTGGATGAGATTGGCGTGTTGGACCTCTCGAATTTTATTGTTCAAGGGCCTCGATTATTGCGATAAGCTAACCCGGCCAGTCGCCGTATGCAAGACTCGGCACTGCAGTCCACGCCGGCTCTACAATCTCAAATTGCGGCCGACACTGTGCACTGGGAGGAGGCGAGGCCAACAAATGGGTCGGCCTTTATTGAGGATATTCATGCGTGTGTACAGGCTGAAATGGCTAATGTTATAGCCAGAATATCCTCTGAGTTGTCGGCAATCATTCTACGGGAGGTGCCGACTATTATCCGACAGGAGTTGGCCAATCTGGCCCACCCCCATCTGGGACAGCCTCCTCACCAGTCCGAGCCAGCCTTCAACTCAACGAGACAGCGTTCCGCCACCCACCCCTCGACGAGACAATGTTCCCCCTCCCATGAAAGCCAGCATTCCCCCACCCCCTCCCGTAAGAGACAGTGTTCCTTCACTCCCATTTCCAAGACAGCCGTCCCCAATCCCCCCATCGAGACAGTCGTTGTTGATTCCCCTCCACCTCCCATGAGGGCCAGCATTCTCCCACCCCCTCCCGTAAGAGACAACGTTCCTCCACTCCTACCTCCGAGACAGCCGCCGCCACCACCTCCAAGATAGCCGTCCCCAATCCCCTCCACGAGACAGTCGTTGATACCACCTCCACCTCCGAGACACGCGTCCCCAATCCCCTCCCCGGGACACCCGTCCTCAATCTCCTCCTCGAGACACTGGTGTTGCAGTACACTTCTTCTCCGCAGTCCTTGTCTTTGGAGATTAAAGTTGATCAACAAAGACGACCAGGACGTGTTGTTGTAAGTCCATTTCGACCCAAGAAGAACAGACGGTATTCCAAAAATAAGGGCGAGTTTGAACGGTTCCTGAAATCCAAGAATATTGAAATGTAAGTACATCCAAAAGATCTTTAATTGTTTATATTTAAAAAAAATAACTTTCAATTATATTATTTAATAGGAGGAATGTCGGCATTCCCTATGCGGTGGACAAGGAGTGGTTTCAGCTGTTGGTTAATCCGAATGAAACGATGTATAACGAGGTATGTATATGTTTGTCTTGTAATATCTTAACATATAAAAATGAATTGATGGATGATGTTTGGTTTGACTTTATAAAACAGAACGTTGATGCATACTTGGGGATTATGCAAAGCAATCCACTCTTTTTGGACTTCCAGCCACGGGTAGATATGTTGGGCACTTACACCATCGTGCCAACTATGTTTTTTTGTGAGATTATTTTAATCCTCTCTGTTTTCCTTGTCATTCCATTTTTATTAATAAATATATTAATAAAATTATTATTTATTACTATTATGTTGTATTTTATATAGATGATGCTGGAGGACTCGGAGAAGGAGATCAATAAGGGGGAACTGGACCCGGACTCGGAGATCCTCAATTCTTTGATTCGTATTGCGACTGAGGGGGTCAGCGGTTGGGGTAATCCGTGTCCTTGGAGGGAGATTTAATATGTAAGTTTTCAATGATTCCGAATCAATTAATATTGCAATCTTTCCTAAAAAATTAGTGAATTTCTCACAACTCAATGCAACAGATTTTTGGAGTAGTGAATTTGACCGGCCACTACGTGACTGTCCAGATCTCGTTACACAAGGGGACGATACGTGTGTTTGACTCTCTAAGGCATACGTATTTAGAAAATAAGAACGAGCAGATTCGCGAAAATCGCATCAAAGGACTGCAAAAAATTCAAAATCTAATTCCAGTGATTGCGACGCATACGGAAGTAGAGGGAATGAACCAAAAGTTTGAATTGGAATTCATGGACCCCAAAAATACTATCTTGCAACATGATAAAATTTCTTGTGGTGTATGCGCTGTGGAGATGGTACGAACATTGCTCACGAGGACGATGCGTTTCAAGAAGTCTAACTATCAGTTGGTTAAAGAAATGAGGCACAAAATTGCTCTAAAAATTTTTCAGTTTAGTACAGAACCAGACACAATTACCGCCCCAGTTCTTTAATGATTCATGGAATACATTTTTATTATTATTATTTTTTTTTTCATTTTATTATAATTTTGTTGTTTGTTGTATGTATGTGGCATTTCTATTTTCTCATACCTGAAAGAAAAAAAGTTAAACTAAATTAAACGATGAAAAATGAAAGAAATAAAAAATAAACTTTCGAGTAGACGTGCGAAGGTGGTATGGGAGCAATATGCGGCAATTCGCATACTCCATCTCATAACTGAAATAACTGAAAGATGAAAGAAATAAAAAATAAATTTCCGCATAGAAGTGCGAAGGTGGTATGCGGCAATTCGCATACCCCATCGCATAACTGAATAACTGAAAGATGAAAGAAATAAAAAATAAAAACTTTCGAGTAGAAGTACGGTGGTGGTATACGAGAAATATGCGTAAATTCGCATACCCATCGCATCACTGAAATAACTGAAAGATGAAAGAAATAAAAAATAAATTTTTGAATAGAAGTGCGTAGGTGGTATGCGAGCAATATGCGGAAATCCGCATACCCCATCGCATAACTGAAAGATGAAAGAAATAAAAAAAATAAACTTTAAAGTAGAAGTCCGAATGTGGTATGCGACGAATATGCGAAAAATTGCATACCTCATCGCATAACTGAAATAACTGAAAGATGAAAGAAATAAAAAATAAACTTTCGAGTAGAAGTGCGAATGTGGCAATTCGAATACACCCTCGCATAACTGAAAGATGAAAGAAACACGAAATAAACTTATTAAACTTATTATGCACCAACTCTGCGAATACTATGCGACGTTGGTATGTCACAGAAAGATTTTTTCGACTAATAGTCGCAGATTCATTCGCCTAACAAAAATAATTATTTAATGGGAGACGGACCGCGATTGACCGTATCGTACATTGAATCTCTGAACATTCATCGTAGAACAGTCGCATACTTTAACTCATAATTTTCTCGCCCATGCTCATACCTTTTGCCTATTTAGCGCATAGTTCATCGCATAGGTCTTCGTACTTCTTGGGGTGTAAAACTTAGCTTTTTATTGGATGGTGTGAAAAATTTAGTATGACTTCAGAACGGGGTGAAAATAGCTATTTCCTCTAATCACATAATCAACTTTTCATTTTTAAACCAGTCTACAGAAATGCAGACTAGCTCTGATACCAAACTGTAACTCCCCACAATTATTTACCGGAAATCAGAATAAATTTTTAGAATTTATTTCAAAACAAAACTTGAGGCGCTACTCTTTTTCAAAACAATAATCAATATTCATGAATTTCTCAATATTTGGCAGTTATCAATACTCATCATCAATATGAAAATCCCAATAATCAATCATAAACCAATAATAATGCAAGGGACATAATCCCTATCAATAATCCAATACTCCAATACTAGAAAAACAATAATCAATAATAATGCAATAATATCCAAGTTCAATTTTTCAAGACGGAAGCATTAAACAGTTTAAAGACCACCACTCGCATCCCTTTCGCCGTGCCGCATAAACTAACATGCATCCGTGAAGAGCAGGTGGGGATGAGCACAATAGAAAAATCGAGGTGCTCATCGCTATGCAATAATTAATATCAATAATCATGAAAACAATTCAAGTATGGTCGCAGCATGTATACGAATCAATAATCGTCCCATCTCCTATCAATAATCAATAATGAACTCATGTGCACACCTATAACGATAGAATACTGCAGAGCTATATACAGAATGCCTTCCTCGAAGGTCTTACAACGAGTTCCCGGCCTGCAGGAGCAATAATCCACCCTGAATGCCAAAACTCAAGCCTTGGCCTTACATACGAGAATCACCAGCTAAGGCTCACGCCCTGACTGCCAACAATAATAAAGGAGACTACCCGAAGGTACGTTCTATAACTACGGGGATAATCGTTTGACGGTGAATATAGCTCAAATCGAAGGCTACATGGTTCACATGCATACTTTGATCATACAACAGCAAAAAGAAAAAACAATTAATTAAGGCATAGCAAATTTTACATTTACAACCCACCTGGAAATTTTAGTAGAATATAACACACAAAAGCGAGTACGTAGAATGAGGCTCGACTCCTCAAACACCTACATTTAAGAAAGATCATTTATCAATAAACTATCTCACTATTCGAATTTATCATAAAACCCATACTTAATAAAAATTAACACTTAAGTGTTTTAAAAGGATTTCCCGTGGACTTGGAACTCTCTCATTTTTGCAAAATATGACTCGAAAAATTAATTTGGAGTCTTGGGACATAAAAATATTTTCCCCAAATTTTTCTCATTTGAAATAATTTTTAAAATTAGGTTCGAGACGAAAATAGGTTTCCGGGACACAAAACTGGTCAAAAAGTCAAACTGGGCCGCTACACACTAACTACCGCGGATTTGGGCCTGAGGTGCACGGAAATTGGGCCACATATGTGTAATTGGGCCACTCAAAGGAGGCCTGGGTAAGCTGGTGAGGGCGCAGGCTGGGAACGGGCCAGCGCGGGCCAACAATTGAGAGAGAAATCCGGCCAAGAAGCCCACGCCTGGGAGCTGGAATAAATAAAAAAATATAAAGGCTACAACGCTGGGGTTCGATCACGTGACTTCTCGCAAGCAACTGGCATGGAAACCACTGAGCTACAGGCCAAGTTGCTAATTAAACTGAAATAAAGTTACTATAAGACTAAAAGAATGTCTGTGTAAAGTAACAGAACAGAGGCTGCCACTTCGAACAGTCTCATATACAATGCACGGGCTAGACAACAAAATTCTACCAAATTCAACGACATCATTTCCAATGGCAACTGGGTTTGACTAACAAGTAAGTTTTCAAAAATAACAACTTTTGGAGTTTCAGAATGTAGAAAAAAAATCAAGTTTTTGGCTCGAAATACGAAACGACGATTTAACGAACGGCAACGACAACGGCTCAGGAAAAATAATAAACGAAACTCCGAATTAACACGATTCAATCACAGCAACAACAAGACTCATTAATACGATCGAGAGTCCCAATAAATCAACGAATAAATTTCACGAAACAACACAATCGAATTACACATATGGACCAAAAAAAATCCGAAAATCAACAAAACTCGATTCCAAGAACACGATAGATCCAACGATAATATTCGAGTACGAAAAACATAACCAGGAGGCTTGACGATTACCTCACTTTTGGAATCCATGTGCTTGGTTGAAAACAAACAAATCGAACGGAAACAGAAGCTCCACGAACGACTGGACGGCAAATGGGACGTTGCTCCGGACTGCTTCTTTATTCGTGTGAACGACTGAAGCTTCGGTGGTGGCTGTCGCGATGAGGAGGGACTCCACAGAAAGAATGGTGGTCACCGGAGATGTTGGCCGGAATTAATGGCGGACTTCGGCTGCAACTTCACGGCCAGGAACGATTCTCGCAGAAAGGTTCGTGAAGCACGGTTGCTGCTCGGTTTCTATTCTCAGAGAAGGTCGCCGGTCAGAATTGAAGCTTCACATCACCGGCAACAATGGCAGATCTTTGCAGGATCGATTGTTTTTTTTTTTTTAATCAG